CACAATCATCAAAGGATTTCATTCATTCTTTGTGATTTTTGCCTCCACAACAGGACAGACAAAGCCAGCTCCAAAGCCAAGACAAAGTCAAACAAAATCAGCCCTTATCAACTCAAGATTGGAAGCTAGTGAATGATAAAGGGATGTAGGAAGGTTCCTTGTATTTGCATTCATTATATTGTGTGTTTTCCCTCCTCTCCCCTCCTTATATATTTCGGCCATTTGGCCCTTGTAATGATCATCTCTGAATTATTAAAAACTCCTTTTACTCTTTGAGTATTTATAAAATAGTGTGATGCTATTTTAGCCAAATCCCTAATTCTATATCTTAAGAGTGGTTATCTTAAGTGTGAGTTTTAGGTTCTAGATATTTAATTAAGTGTGTCATATCTTAATTAAATTCTAGATTCAAACCCCAAGTTAGGATAAGAGTGTGTAATATCTCTTAAACACCAACTTGGTTTATCCATCCCTGAATTTTCTTCCATTTCATATCCCCCCATTTCTCCTCTTAATCTCACTCTTTTCTTCCACTAAAATACCCAAAAGAACTCCCTCATCAGTCCCATATATTTCCAACCCATTCCCCACAAAAGCGCCTTTCTTCCTGCCCAGAATCACTGCGAAATAATCGATTATTATTCCCCATAATCGATTATCAGTTCCATTGGAAACATCTGCAGGCAGTAATAATCGATTATCCCCTTAAGATAATCGACTATCACTCATTCCCAGAAAATCTGCAGCCTTCAATAATCGATTGTCTATTTCTGTTAATCGATTATCACGCCCCCCAGGATTCCTGCAGTCTCTACAATCGATTGTCTCCTACTGTCAGTCGACTATCAGCCCCTCCTATCAGCCCCTCCTGAAGTTTAACGGCTGTTTTGGTTTGCTACCAATTCCTCCGTAATCCCGCCCTCAAATTATCTAAATGATAAGACCCCGGTTTTGGGCCTAACACTAAGGCCCATGTCAAAGCCTTTCACCATGTCATCTAGGAACTCTTTATCCATTCTCCTGTGTTCAGGTCATTAAGGTACTGTTTTCATTGGGTTTTGTGGATTCATTTGTTTTTTTTACTTCCAAAATCATTGTATTGTTTCATCCTCACTGTAATGATGTACCAATCCTAATATGTACTCCTGCCTGAAAATGAGACCTCTCGTTACTATGGTTGAATGAACGTATTGTCAATTCAATTTATTTTAAAAAAGGTGTAGAAATAAAATATAAAGTATATATATTTAAGAACGACATCTAAAGTTCTAGAAAACAAAAGGTGAAATGACATTAGTATTTGGCCAGATTATCATTGAAAATATGCAAAGAAAAAAAGACATAGTTTGGCTCTGTGAATAATAATTGCCTAATTGGGTCTTTTTTGGGATGAGGGAGTATTTGTTTGTTTCTTTGTTCGAGTCTGAAACTAAAGCCATACTTGTGCAGATTCCACCTGATGATATTCGATGGATAGGTGATGATCCAGGTATATCTCGTGGAGGAGGTAGTGGCCAAGGTACCGTGCTAAGTCTCCGAAGGGATGAAGGTGTCTCAAGTGACCAATACCGTAAGGAAGTTCGGCCCCAACAGAATGGTGGGCTTGTGCAGAGGGCAGCTAGTGATGAAATTGAAATATTGCACACAGAAACTTTGATAAAAAAGGTATGAATCCAACGGTTACCATTGTTATTAGTTTTAATATATATTGTGCATGCAGATGTTGAACGTGGAAGTATTTAATGCACCTACAGGTAGAGAGAGTGATGGATGCTAATCCTCCGAACCTCATTGAGATTCAGAAGGCCAAGAAGATGCTGAAGGTTAATAGCTTAACTGTTTTTGGCTCTATGGATAATTCCTTCCTAGTATCTCATTCATTCCTTAAGCATCAAGAGATCGGTTGTGCAGGATCATGAACTAGCATTGATGGAAGTGCTTGCCAAGCTAGCTGATGCATGTGATAGAGGAAATGGTATATTATAACCTTGTCCATCCCTAGTTTATCTTCCATGTTTGACATTGCACGGAGCTGAAGAAAAGAAATTTATTTGGTTGATATTTCTTCAGAAAAGAAAAAAGCAATATCAACCACATATCTATTCCCATTAAAGGTAGGGTGATTATTTTGGGATGAAGAAACTAAGAAAGTAGGATGATTAAAAGGGAGACAAATGAAGTAGTTCTGTAATTCTCTTTTATTTTGTACTACCTATATCTTAGAGTATTCATCTAATTTGACTTTTCTTGAGTCAAACTGCACAAACCATGATCATCATTTAAATTAAAATTGTATCATATATTAGTACAAAAATAATTATATTAAATTTATCTTGTGAATAACTCTCAGAAATTTATTTCATTGTTTTAATATGTAATCTAAATTTAAAATAATTGATGATTAAAGTTTATGTAGTTGGACTTAAAAAAAGTCAAATTGAAAATTGGATGAATACTCGGTATTATTTATTACTTCGTCCCACTCAAAAAATTGATAGGGGAGCAGGGGGGTTAGGGTGGGAGTTAGGGGAGGGGGGGGGG